TTTTTTGGTTGCAGCCATCATTGTTGTTTGGCGGGCCCACACTGGATTCAAACCCGCCACCTTAGTTGTATGTGGCTGGCGCCTTAGCTGCTTGAGCCACGGGCACCAAGCCGCAACCTCAGACTCTTTGGCTCAAGAGATCTTCTTGCCTTAGCCTCTCCAGTAGCTGGGATACAGGTGCTTCCACAAGGCCTGGTTAGTTTTAGAGATAAGGACTAGATCTTGCTCAGGCTGGTCTTGAACTCCTAAGCTCAAGCAATCCACCCCCTTTGGCCTCCTAAAGTGCTGAGATTATAGGAATGAGCCACTGTGCGCAGCTAGAATACGGTCTTGTCACCATAGCTCACTGCAACCTCAAATTCTTGGGCTCCAGTGATCTTCCCACCTTAGCCTCTCAGAGTAGCTGGGACTAAAGGTGAGCGCCTCAACACCTGGCTATTTTTTTCTATTTTTCTTTTTAGAGATGGGGTCCTGCTGTGTTGCCTGGACTGGTCTTGAACTCCTGGCCTCAAGAAATCCTCTTGCCTCAGCCTCCCAGGGTTAGGAGCCACTGTTAGCACTCAGACCACTGGGTCTGAATTTTAAATCAAGAGACAGAGAAGGGCACCTGAGGGATAAGAGATGAGCAGAGTGGCCCTCTGAGGGAAGAGTGTGCCAAGCAGTAGGAACAGCCAGGGCTATGGCCCTGAGGCCAGAGCCTGCTGCTCATTCCAGAAGGAGGCCAATGAGGTCAGATGACTGTGAGCAAGAAGGGAAGTTAAGGAAGGTCAAGGAAAGATTGTGGAGCACTTTTTTCAGGACTGCCCTTGAGGTTTAATAAATCTGAGTGTCCGCATTCAAAGCTTAGTCAGGGGTCCTCAAACTATGGCCCGTGGGCCACATGCGGCCCGCCAAGGACATTTATCCGGCCTGCTGGGTGTTTTTGTCACTGCTGCCTGTCTTGCTTAGCAGCTGACTCATCCCGGGCCCGCAGTCCGGCCCTCCACTGATCTGAGGGACAGTGAACTGGCCCCCTGTTTAAAAAGTTTGAGGACCCCTGGCTTAGATTCTTTTAGGAACTATTGAAATCTTCTCCCATCACTGGTTTTATCTGTAGCTGCATCTTCACTATCTGGCAGTTCCAGGGCTATCCTTGAGGACCCCAGCCCAGTGCTAGGGGTGCCAAGTGATCTTGAAGGGTCTGAAAATAGGAAACAGGCACAAAAGTCAGTTTGGGAAGATGCTGTGAGAGCCACTACTCCTGACTCAGTGCAGAGCAACTGAAACCCAGGGTGGGACCCTAGGAGCTGAAGTTCACTCTTCAGCTATTGTTCCTGGCTGATTGCATTTTCGGATGGGTTGCAGGGATGGTGTCTAGGGAAACTTAGCCGGCCACACCCCTGGGCTTTAAAGTTTGGAATTCTCTGGGGGAATCTCTGAGAACCCAGTCAGAGAAAAGCTGGCCAGGGGTTGCTGGGACTGATAAGATTTTCTTCACTTTGGAACAGTCTCCTCTCTCTCCTTGGTTTGTTTTTGTGTCATGGCTGTTCTCCTTAGAGCTTAGCTGCAAAGCTCTATACAAGGATGCCCTGACTGATCTTCTGGGGCCAGCTTGTCTGGTGACAGAGTGTGGGGCATATCCCTCCAAAAGAAAAACAAGGAGGGTCTTTAGCGGACCTTGAGGGAAAGGAAGCTCTTAAGACCTTACAGCCCCCGGGAACTAGCCTGATTTTAAATCCTGGTAGGGGGGGATAGGAGGTATGGTTAATGCTGATGGGGGAAGGAGATGGGAGGTGTGGTTAATACTATCCCTCCTGGGATCTGACTGGGGACTGGGTTTGGAAGGAGCTGAGCAGTTCTTCCTGCCAGATCCAGTTTGGAGCCTCCTTGGAGGTTGACCCTTAGGCAAGTGTTGTGAGGCTCCTCAGATTTAATCTGTTGTTGTTTCAGAGGATTAAATGAGATAACTGCCTTTCCCAAGTACTAGTAAGTGCTGAAGGAGAGAAGCAGGAAGGATGGGGTGTAGGACAAGAGAACATAGGAATGGACTCCACCTGCTCAGTTGCGCCAGGCCTACTCTACCTGAGCTGATAGGAGGAAACAAAATGGGGCCCTTGGACTCTGACTATGGGTGGCCCTGGCCATCTCCATGTGGTCAGGGCCAGGGTGGCCAGATCTCCCACCACCTCAACAGAAGCAGGGAATATGAATCTGTAATAGGAAATCCCTCAGTGTTAAACTGTGGAAATTCATTAACAAAATAACTATAAAGAATACCAAGCAGGCCAAGCAAAGCCCACCACCTGGTTGGTGGGACCCCTTGCTCAAGTGAAGGTGGCACTAAGAACAGATCCCCAGTTGACTGTTGCAGGCCTCTCCTGGGAAGACAGCTCCTCAATCTGCTGCTCTTGCAAATGGGGTGTTGATAGACCCAGCTTCCTGGGACCATGGAGAACAGAGCTGTCCTGCTGGGCTCTGTGGTCCTGGGTAAATTCCTTTCCTTTCTGGGCCACAGTTTCCTGGCTTGAAAGGACCAGGTCTTTTGGACAGTTTGGACAGTGTGTGACTAAGTCCCTTAGGTTCTACGGAAGATGTGGTTATAATGGAAGTGACTCTTCCCAGGAACTGTGGTTCCGGAATGGGATGTAGTACACTTAGGCATTTTGTGTTCACAGTCACACACAAATCCTGGCTGGGGGATGGGAGGTATGGTTAATGCTGTGTGTGTGAATGTGTGTCATAATTGGGAGCTTTGCATGGCACAGTGTAAATATCATTGTTTTAATTACCCAATCCTGGAACCTTTCATTGGCTGCTCTGTGGAAGCCGGTAGGAAGCCTTCATTAATTCTCTTGTGACCTGGGGAGAGCAGGGTCCTTCTTGCCTTTTGTAGTTTAAGGAAGCCCACGCCCAGAACTGGGAGGTGACTTGGGTAAACGTGAACCGCTGGAACCTTGAGAGTGTTGGTCAAGTGTGTGGGGCCCCCTCCTTCAACCGTGAGAATGAAGTTAGCATTTGACAGTCTTCTCTGTGCGTATCACAGTTTGAGCTGCCAGGATGCGGGGAGAAAAAGGTCCTCACCTTAAATTTTTCCACGGGAGGAGAGTGTATGAGCGCAGGCTACCTCTCTGAGCCTTGCCTCAAAGTCCCTCCCTCACTGTCCCCAGAGTCAACCTGACCTGTATTCACTGCAGCACCCATACAACCAGGAGGCGGAGCGAGCCCCTGAGCTGTCTAACATCTGCTTTTGCGGAGTCGCGCAAACATCTAGAGGCCTTAGCAGGAGCCCCTGCTTTGCTTGGACAGAAGGGAGAACCGGGCAGTGGGGAGAGGAGGCTTTCAGTGTATAACCCTCTCTCCCATCCCCTGCTTTTTGTGCACCCTCCTCATCCCTCTGCTCCTCCCCACCGTTTTTCCACCTGTGACCTGGACTGCAGCAGGGTGTCCGTGTCTGTGGGCGCTGCACACGCACACACACATGCCCGCCCGTAAGACTGTGTTCCCATACTGGGGTTGGGGAAGCGTGTTTACTGGCTGTGGCCTCCAGCAGCCCCGGGCGCGGGGGCCGCGGGCCCTTTAAATCCTTCGGGGCGGCGGCGGCGGGCCGGGGATGACATCAGCGGGCGGGCCCGGGGCTCAATGGGAGCCGGCGGGAGCGCGCCAGCGGGAGCGCGCGAGCCGGCGGCAGGCGGGGGCGGGTGGGCAGGAGGGCCAGGAGGAGAGAGGCGGCGGCGGCGGCGGCGGCGGCAAGAACCCAGATCCTGAGCCCGGCCAGGGCCGAGCGAAGCGGAACGCGGCGGTAGCGGCGGCGGCTGGGCCGGGAGAGGCTGGCGCGCCGGGCGGCTCCGCGAATCCTCCGGCATCCGCCCCGGCGGGCCGCCCCCGCCCGCGGCAGCCCCCGGAGCAGCGGCCCGGCACCGGCGCCTTCCTGGCGGGGTAAATATTGGGGGTCTGCGGGGCCGCGAAAGAGCACAAACCGGGGGGAAACGGGGCTCCCTCCGCCTCTTTGTTTTTGCTGGGAGAGGGAGGGGAGGAGAGGCGGACACGCGCGTTCGCGCTCGGGGTATGGGGGGGCAGTCCGGGCGCCGCCCGCTCGGCCCGGCGAGGACAAAGGCGCGGCTGGGGACGAGGAGGAGGGTGACTATTATTTTGCAAGCTTGCGGGAGAGAGCCCCCCCCCCGCCCCCCGCCTCCCCTAGCTGGTCCCTCCAAGGCCCCAGCCGGCCGAGGCGGCCACCCGGCTGTGTTTTGGGGACGCTGAAGAAGGGGGTGCTCGGGGCATCCGATACTGTTGATTTGGCTTGTGTAGGTTACACCGCTGGACAATCAGCAGCGCCCCCTTGTCTCTTGGCCCGGGTGCCCCAGACTCGAGGTCATCAGGGCTGCTCCCGCGTTGGATGGGGTGTTTGGGGCTCCTGAGACGGTGGGGTGCGTGGTCACCAGGCCACCGATTTTGTTTTCCTTTGTGGAGAGAAAGAAAGGAATGGGGGTTATTTATCAGATTGGCTTCTCCCATCTCTCTGTGAGAAATTCATGTTTTGCAAGTCTCTGTGGAACGACAAACTGTACCTGGCTCTCATTAGAGAGAGGATTCCCAAGCTCCTCTTAATACCCAAACTCAGATGGGCGTGAGCCCCCTCCCCAACTTTCCCCATACTTTTTTTGCGTATTTTCTTCTTGGCATAACCTCCTTCAAGGAGAAGGATTTGAGGAAAGAGAACAGATACAGTGTCTTAAGTTGCTTCCAGTAAATAAATGCCTGTCTTTGGTTCTCCTTTGCCTTGGGTCTAGGATGTCCCTTACAGTTTTTATTTTAATGGTCCAGGGACAAGGACCCTGGCTCTGGGGAAGGGGGCTCAAGGAATAAAAACACTGCCCATGTGCTGATTGGTAGTTTGTCTAATTTTTTTAACCTGCTGAAACTCCTGAACCTTCATATTAGCCTTTTTTTCCCCACGAACCTCCCCCGCCCCCACCATGGGGGAGGCAGCAGCGGAACTGGAAAGCCTCCCCCGTTATTGAATGGAGCCTTTCTCCTCTCCTCTGGGAGGCTTTTTGGGGAGTAGCGCTGGGACAGTTTAGGCTCTCCCAGGAGCTTTGGCCCCCTAGAATGTACAGGAGAGACTGGGGGTACAGGAGAGACTAACAGAGCAGTGGTGGGGGTCCTGCAGGGCTGGGTGTTTGCATCTCCTCTCCCCTTCTCTGCAGACAGCCCACTGAGTGGGGACAGACTGGGGGGTCATGTGCAGTATATTTATGTAAGACACCCAGACAGAGGGCATGGGTATTTATATAACCTGGCGTGGGTATTTATGTAATATAGGATGCGGGTGTATTTATGTTCCTTTCCTAACCTGCAGCTTTCCCGGCTGCCCTGTGTGGTCTCTGAATTGGTACTGCCAGAATACAGACTTTGGGGGTGTTTGCGAGTACGCCCCTCCCCCAGCGGGGCTCACTGTGGGCCTGCTTTTCTTTCTTCCTTTGGAGTGTACACACTTAGGAAGCTGGATGTGTGTGTACGTGGGGTGTGTGGTGTGTGGGTTTCCGGCAAACGTGGAGTGTGTTCTGCTAGCAGTGTGGCACCTCAGCTGGGACAGGCCAAGCAAGTGGGCAGAGGCCCTTGATTGAGAGCTTGGAGTTTGGCTGGCATGCGGTGGAGGCTTCCTTCTTTCTCATGGTGGTTATTGGTGAAAGGCTAGTGAACTCCCTGGGACTTGGTGCTGGCCTGTTTCCTGGCCTGTGCTGGGCAGAGAGCTCAGGCCCAGCTTGGTTCACCATGGGATAAATCTATCTCTGTGCAGGCTGGGCTAGCTGTTGGGGAGAGCACTTGGCATGGGACAGGGGCACAGCTGCTTTGCTGTCTTCCTGTTTTGTCCCCCAGCCTAGGCATGAAATAGGTCTTGTTTGTGGGGGCAGGAGGTCTGTCTAAGACCTCGGTGATTGTGGGGTGGTAGGTGGTATGGCCTGTCTGAGCCAGTGCTCCCTGTTTGTGAAAGGTATCCCCTCTTGATGGTCTTTTTTTTTTTTTTTCTTTTTCTTAGAGACAAAGTCTTACTTTGTAACCCTAGGTAGAGTGCCATGGCACAGCAACCTCCAACTCCTGGGCTAGGTGATTCTCTTGCCTGAGCTTTCCAAGTAGCTGGGACTACAGGTGCCCACCACAACACCCAGCTATTTTTTGTTGCAGTTTGGCCAGGGCCAGTTTTGAACCTGCCACCCTCGGTATATGGGTCTGGTGCCCTACTCACTGAGCCACAGGCCCCACCCCTTTTTGTTTTGAGATAGAGTCTCACTTTATCACCCTCAGTAGACTGCTGTGGCATCACAGCTTATAGCAACCTCCAACTCCTGGGCTTAGGCAATTTTCTTGCCTCAGCCTCCTGAGTAGCTAGGACTACAGGCACCTGCCACAATTCCCAGCTATTTTTTGTTGCAGTTTGGCTGGGGTCAGGTTTGAACCCACCACCCTCTATATATGGGGCTGGTGCCCTACCCACTGAGCCACATGTGCCGCCCTCTTGATGGTCTTAGATCCTGGCCTCCTGTAAGCACTCAAGGTCTCAGGGCTCCCCCTTCCAATAGCTGAAACTGCCTCCAGGCCTCTTGAGTTTTCTCCTGTGCTGGCCAAGAGCACAGTGTACCCAGACCTTTGTCCCAGCCAGAGCAGAGGAGTTTCACTCTGGTGGCCCTGGACCCTGATGTCCCTTGGGCTTGGGGCACCAGAGCAAGGCCCCCATAGTAGATCCTCCCTTCTAGTCTTGCAGGAAGCCAGCTCCAAATGGTTGATCCAAAGAGCTATGTGCAAGAGACCCATGTGAGGTTCTTGGTGTGGTGGGGGGGACAACTGGAAGATGGCTGTTTCCTGCCTTTCCCCTGAGTGGGGATGAGATGCTGTCCCACAGGGCACACTGGGGACTGGTGAGGTCAGACCTCTCTGCTCAGAGGCGGTACCTGGGAAGACAGGCCAGGCTGTGGGAGCCCGGGGGTGGGAGTGAGGGACACTGTCACTTCAGAGGGCAAAAGAGGCTTAGGAGCTCCTTTGGGACCCTTCCCTTCAACTTGTCCTCCCATCCTGGAGGTTGGGCCTGTCAGGGTTGCCATGGAGGTACCCCTGGGTGGTCAGCTTCTGCATTCCCCTCTGCAGCATTCCCTTTGTCCTTGGTTTTCCTTTCAGGGTCTTGACACATTGTGACCAGCACTCCCCTTGAGTGGCTGCGGTTGGAGGGATCTCTGTGTGTGTCTCCCATGATGATGCTTGCTGGTCTGTTGCCTCTCAGGCCATGCCTCTTTATTCCACTTTGTTTTTTTTGTTTTTTTGTTTTTTTAAGACAGTCTTACTTTGTTGCCCAGACTAGAGAGGTACTGTGGCATCATCATAGCTTACAGTAACCTCAAACTCTGGGCTCAAGTGATCCTCTTGCCTCAGCGTCCTAAGTAGCTAGGACTATAGGCATGAGCCACCACGCCCTGCTAGTTTTTCTATTTTTTTTTTTTTTTAGAGATTGGGTCTTGTCATGTTGCTCAGGCTGGTGTTAATAATTCTGCCTTTTGCCTGGCTACCCAGAAACCTGTTCTAAACCTGCCTCACCCATTCCGCAGGTGGTGGAGTGCAGGCCATGCGTGTACCATAAGACACCTGGTTGCCCTCTGGCAAAGTGAGACCAAATCTCTTCCTGGACACTAGAGAGAGAATGTTGGCCTCTCAAGTTCTTTTTTTTTTTTTTAATGTGTTTGTTTATTTATTTTTGTCTGGGGCTGGGTTTTAACCCAGTACCTTCGGTATATGGGGCCGGCGCCCTACTCCTTGAGCCACAGGCGCTGCCCAGGCCTCTCAAGTTCTATGTGGCTTTGCCAGGCATTTGGTGGGTCACCCCCTTTCCTGCTCACATTTCTCTGAATTGGGTGTTTCTGCTTACCTCTGCAGCAAGAGCAAATCATGGAGCTACGTGTGGGGAATAAGTACCGTCTGGGACGAAAGATCGGGAGCGGGTCCTTCGGAGACATCTACCTGGGTAAGTGCTCCTGGCTCCAGGAAAAGGAAAGACCCCAGGATTTGGGAATCTGAAGCCAGACTTGGCTCCAGTGGCATATTTTGCCCTTGGGGCCGTCCCACACAGGGCAGGAAGCAACAGATCAGGCAAGGCAGGGCAGGGGGCTTCCCTGATGGCCAGGGCAGCACAAGGCTCTGGCATACTGCAGGGTGGACAGAGGAGGGTATTTTTAGCATTGATTTCCAGCACAATTGACCTGGGTCTCCAGCTGGGCGTGGGAAAGCACCCAGTCTCCTGCCTCTTGGGAGGAGGATGCTAATAGACAGAGAAGAGGCCTGGGCTACCGCTTGACCCCAGCTGGGCCCCTTCCTTGTGGTCTGGCCTCCTGGAATGCAGCCCAGGCAGGCTTTGGGATGACGCAGATTCCCCCTCCCCAGTAGCCTTGGGTGGGAGAGTCTCATTTAGAGAGCTTTCTCTCCGGATGTGCTTCCTGTTGAAAGTTCCGAGTTTGCCCTAATATTGTCATTTTAAACAAATCACTGATTTCTCAGTTGTCTTCTAAGCTAGAATAAATGAGGCTCATGTCTTTCAGTGCCACTTTCTTAGCCTGCTGAGGAACACAGCCATGAGCCTTAGCCTTCCTTTGCAATGGTCTGAAAGAGCGGTGTTTAGTGTTGGTGATCGTGGATGGGAAAGTGGGGGCCCGGAGTGGTTGGAGCACTTTGTTGCCCAGACTAGAGTCTGTCCCTGTGCCCTCAGAAGTAGGCTAGATTTATACCTATGCCTCAGTTTCCCTCCTCAGAAAACAAAAATAAAACAGATTTTTGTCCTAGGCAAAGAAAACCGACAAGTCTGCATGTCATATTTCTTAATTCAGAACTTGGGAGTTTCGCTTACCCATGGTCAGACTTCCTGACCCCTTGGAATATGAAATCTGCTTCTCAGGGGACAAGAAGGGAATTGCACATTCCCTGAGCACTTAGCTACAGGGCATTTTCTGAACCAGGTCTCTCCTCATAGCCCCTACAGAAGGTACCAGGTCTTCCCATTTCACACATCAGGAAACTGAGGTGCAGCACGGTGGAGCTGGTCTCCTGAGGCTGCTCTGGAAAACTGACAACAGCAGCCTCTGCCCACAGCCCTCTGCAAGGGTGAGAGGGTAAACAGGCCAGATGGGGCATGGGAATGTTAGAGCAGCTTTGTGTAGCTGCTCTACCTCAGTGTCCCCATCTGTAAAGTTTGGGATGATGCTACTGACTGTCCAGGAGCTGTTAGGAGACTCAAATGAAACAACAGACAGGAAAGCTTCTTGTAAACTGTGAAGTGCTGGCCACAGGTGCAGTTCATTGCCAAGTGTTTGATAGGTTGCCCTCCCCTATAAACACTTAGAGCCCAGAGTGGAGGGAGATAGCGTGCCGTAGAGCAGATTTAGAGGTTTTCTTTCTGTCTGGGAGCTCCTCCTGGGGAGGCAGGCATTGGGTATGTTTTCTTCTCCCCTGCGCCCGTGTGGGGTTTGCCCACAGTGGGTGTTCCCTGGAGACCTGCCAGGTAAACTGTTGCATGCCAGACATATGCAGCAGCTTCACTCCTGGTGGGATAAAGAAGGGCTGGGACCCAGAGGCTAGTCCAGGTATAGATCCCCAGCCTTCTCCTCCTCTGCATAGCCTGAAATGAGTCACTATCTCTTTGAGCCTCAGTAATCTGAAATGAGAAATTGGGGTGAACATAAAAGACTCTGTTTTTTATGTTTTAAAGGGCTCTTGGGCTCAGGACTGAAGCCTGGAGCCCCTGGCTGCAGGCCAGAATGTGCTCCTGGCATAGACGCACACTTGCTCCTAGATAACACCCAGTCCAGGTCCCTCTTTTTTTCAGAAGGAAAGTTGAGGTACATGGGGGGCGTTTGTCCAGCTCAAAGTCACTCAGCAAAGCCAGTGTGTCATTGGTTCTTGTGGGACCTCCCTGGGGACAAAACTTCCTGTTTATCTGCGTAGTTATTTCGTTCATTTTAAAACTAGGTTCAGGAGTGATCTAGGTTTAGGTACTGGCGTTTCTTTTTTCCAGCTGCAGGTCCTTGAGCAAATGATGACCTCTGGCAGCTTTGACTTCCACATCTTTGAAATGGAATTATAAGTAGTAGTGAGGTGCCCCTGCTCATGCAGTCCAGCAGGGCCCTGCCCTGGGTCTTAGTTAGGAGTTGGTGCTTTCAAAGGATCAGGCTCATCTGGGCCTGAGTCAGGGGAGCCTAGTAAGTCAGTTCTCTAAACTATCCAGCCTTGCAGCCTTCATGAAGTGCAGGGGCCTCGGTGAGGGGCTCTGCCCTGACATAGTATCTTGCCAGCCCCTCCTAGGTCCCTCATTTGCTGGTTTGGGGATAGTGGTGATTGTAGGGTCTTCCCAGCTGGCCTCGCTGGCTCCATTTGTTCAAAGCTCTGGCTACATTCTTGTCCCCAGTGCTGGGCCAGGGCCTGACTCCAGATGGCCTCTGCAGGTGGGGCTGGACATGGCCTCCAAGCCCTGCTTTCCAGTATTAGCCGAGGGCCAGCACACTTTAGATGTGGCTGCAGGGCCCTCCCAGCTCCTCTTCAGGTCCTCTCACCCCATTCTGACCCCAGCGTCCTAAATGGGTAAGAGTGGGACTGCCTTTTTTTTTTCTTTGAGACAGAGTCTACTTTATCACTATTGGTAGAGTTCCCTGAAGTCGTAACTCACAGCACCTCAAACTCTTGGGCTCAAGTGATTCTCTTGCCTCAGCCTCCCAAGTAGCTGGGACTATAGGCGCCACTACAATGCCCTGCTATTTTTAGAGGTGGGCTCTGGCTCAGGCTGGTCTCGAACCTGTGAGCTCAGGCAATCCACCCGCCTTGGCCTCTCAGAGTGCTAGGATTAAAGGTGTGAACCACCATTTCTAGCCCTGGAACCTCCTTTTTTAAGGGCCTCAATTTGACTGCACAAGGTCCACTCACTGGTCTTCTGGAGAGTTGTCTAGAATTCTGAAGGCATGAGCAACAGTGCTGCCCTGGCAGGTATTTCAAAGGTAAGAGGTAGTACAGGGAGCACTCTAGGCCTCTGATAGGTGGGGGTTAAAATGGCCACTGCTGTTGTTTTTGGGGCGCATGGTTTTTATCCCTTGTCCTTCAGTCCAGCCAGGTCCCTGATTGTGTCCATGTGTCTGTCTGGATGTCTGGAATGAGCTCTCATATCAGGCAGGTCACCCTTCTTGCCACTTGGAATTCACAAGGTCCCAGCCCCATTAATGCTGTCTAGATCCAAGGCTTTTTGTTTTCTTTTTTAATTTATTTTTTATTTATTTTTTTAAGAGACAGAGTCTCACTTTATCGTCCTTCGTAGAGTGCTGTGGCATCACAGATCACAGCAACCTCCAACTTCTGGGCTTAGGCAGTTCTCTTGCCTCAGCCTCCCAAGTAGCTGGGACTACAGGTACCCGCCACAATGCCCGGCTAGTTTTTTGTTGCAGTTTGGCTGGGGCCAGGTTCGAACCTGCCACCCTCAGTATATGGGTCGAGCACCCTACCCCTGGAGCCACAGGTGCCACCCTCAAGCCCTTTTCTGTGTCCAATTTGTTTTGGTGACTTGCCAGTCCTTCCACAGGGCCACTGTAACTAATAGGCTGTGTTCTGTTCCTGAAATTGGATAGTTCCTCTAGCTTCCAAGCCTTTGTGTTTGGGGTCCTTTCAGCTTCTCTTGGCCCCCATATACCACCTCAGCCAGGAAGCCATACCTGGAATTGGAATGGAGAAAGGAGCAGGGGCTTTGGGGACTAAGTTGTTTTTTTGTTGTTTGTTAGCTTGTTCATTTTGACACAGAGTCTTACTTTGTTGTCTTGGTAGAGTGCCATGACATCACAGCAACCTCAAACTCTTGGGCTTAAGCAATTCTTTTGCCTCAGCCTCCCAAGTAACTGGGACTACAGGTGCCCACCCCAACACCTGGCTATTTTTAGAGACGAGGTCTAACTCTGGCTCAGGCTGGTCTCAAACCTGGGAGCTCAGGCAATTCACCCACCTCGGCCTTGCAGAGTGCTAGGATTATAGGCATGAGCCACTGTGCCTAGCCTGGGGACTAAGTTTTAAATACTGGCTCTGCCCCAGCCAGCTCTGTCTGACCTCCCTGAGCCTCAGCTCTGAGTTGTGAGAAGTAGGGAACTCAGAGATAAGCTTGGCAGCATCCTGCTAGAACTTGGGGGCAGCCAAAGGAGTCTGGTGGCAGCTGTGGCAAAAGGTTTTCAGCACTCAATGGGCATCACATTACTTCTCATAATAGCTTGGGTCCGTGTCCCTGGGAAGTTTTGTGGCATATGGTTGTTTGAGCTTTGGCTTCTTCCATTTTTCCATATGTCAGATAGAAATACTGACAGTAGTACTTTCAGGGTGGGGTGAAGTTCAAGGAGATTCCCCTACACTGTCCTGCACATGTCTCTAAACCACCAAGAGCTACAGGCTCTGCCTCCAAAGTGTCACTCGGCCTCTGCACCCTACCAGGCAGGGCTACCCTTGGCTCTTGCCTAGAGAGCTGCTGTATCCTCCCCAGAATTCCCTCTCCCCTGTCGTTTCCTAGCCCTTTCTATAGAAGTACAGCAAGGAATCTCAGTGCAGGGTGCAGGGTGTCTTGTTTCTCAGGAGACATTTGGCTACATCTCAATACCTTTTGGTTGTTACAACTTGGGGCAGGGGCATACCCACTGGCATCTAGTGGATAGAGGCCAAGGGATGTTGCTAAATATCTTACAGGGCAGGCCCACAACAAGGCATTATTCAGCACCAAATGTCAGTGGTGCTGAGATGCCCTGTGGTCATATACCTGAACCTGGCCCCTTCTTTCTCAGGCCAGGATTTTAGCTGGCCATTTAAGAGCCTTTAGATCTCTTCCTTTTTTTTTTTTTCCAGTTTTTGGCTGGGGCTGGGTTTGAACCCGCCACCTCTGGCATATGGGCCCGGCACCTTACTCCTTTGAGCCACAGACGCCGCCTGAGCCTTTAGATCTCTTCCCTACCCACCTTGTCC